TTTTCAGAGACCCTCTTTGGGCATCATACAAACTGCCATAACATTTCCCTGCTGAAATGCCACAGCAGATCAAAGAAAAACTCAAGGAGAATGTATGCTTACGCATAACAGCAGTGGACTCTTAAAACAGGAGGGGAATATTCATAGTGTTTGTGCAAAGACTCGTGAAACTAGCCACATGAGGTATGTCAGTACATCTCAGGGAGGAGCTGGGAGTCATTTGATAACTGTCGGCTGGCAGTGTCTGTTGCTGAATCATAATTTATTGCTATGTCGCTTCCTTGAGTGTTCCCACTGCGAGCCTGTGTCACCAAGTCATTTGTTTGACTGCATCAGGTTTCTGAGGGGCAGCGCTTCCCTCAGTTCTTTCGCCTCAGGATGGTAAAGGGCTTTGCATCGAGCTCATTCATGTAAACATCGAGCAGTCGTGCAAGTCCACAGAGAAACTAAGTTGATGTGATGGGGATATTTTCTCTTGTCTACGAGCAGAGATGGGCTTCTCAAGTATCCAGACAGAGGAGGTTTGCATGGATGTTTGGTCAACAGAGCATGTCTGAGCCGTCAAGCTATTTTTGTAATGTATGATTGTGCGAGTTTCCTTGATTATTTCCCAGTTTGCTTTTACGGTTATGTAAGTTTGGATGGGTCACAGTGAACGATCTCGACAAACCCAACGGAAAACAATCTGCTAATTTCTTAATTTTGTATTGTCACAAATTTGCGTACGTTTGAAATGTTTCACTTGTTTTTAATTGGTATACCAGAATCCATGTCAAAGACATTCTAGATGAACTCAAGTGAGTTATTTAGCATTATAGCACCAGTTCACAACAACATAAGATATCAGGGCAGTTTCTCGTCCTCTGTTGGAATGAATTATTCTTTTTTTTTTGGTGGGCCCAAAAAGTGTGCAGCAGTTGGGGAGAGTCACCCCACTCCCAGGAACAGCATGAGCAGACCGGAGGCCAGCAGACCCAGACCCAACCAAGGCTGCAGTCACTCCAATCAAACCCATACACACCCACATGCACACACATATACACACTCTTACGTACAGACACAGTCTTTTATCTGTGACACGCATTCACTCTCTCATACACATATACACGCACGCATATACACGCACACAAAATATACAAAGAAATACAAATAAAAGGAATAACAAATAATGATAATAATGACAATAATACTGCATAAATTAAAGAAAAGGGTAACATAAATAATCACAAAAAATAATAATAAATGTCAAAACAATAAAAAATTATAAATAAATTAATTTCTAAATACATTTATTTATTTATTTATTTATTTATTTATTTATTTATTTATTTATT